TTGTCGGTCGTCTCTCTCTCTCTCTCTCTCTCTCTCTCTCTCTTGTTTGTTTTATAGAATGTATTTTTATTGGTCGATGACTGAAATAAAGCTGCTTTCTCTCTTTCTCCCTCTCCCTCTCCCTCTCCCCCCCCCCCTCTCTCTCAGCCCTCAGAAGGAGGCAATGGCAAATCACTTGCAAAAATTTGCCAAGAAAATTGCATGGGCTTGTCTGCATATTTGCCAGGAGTCGGAACTGGCTCAAAGGCGCAGGAAAAGAAATGGCAGGCCCATATGGCTGCAAGAGGTAGGGAGAGGAAAATGAGAGGACTGAGGTCAGGGAAAGTGAATTGCAAAAGAGAAAAAGCAGTTACAGTTGTATAAAAACAAAAGCGTTGCAGAAGCCATTAACAGTGCCAGGAGTGTCCATGGGGGGCTCAAAACAGTTAAATGGTGGCCACATGATTGAAGCCCTGTCCTTTTTAATGTGTATTTCATGGGCTTCGATCATACAGTCACAGCCACCATCTTGGCTTTTTTGAGCCTCCTTGGGCATTCCTGGCCCTGTTAATGGCCACTGTAACTCTTTTGTGTTTGTACAACTGCCATTGCTTTTTTCCCAGCCATTCACTCTCCTTGACTTCTCCTTATCCTTTTGCGGCCATAAGTGCCTAGCATCTTGGATAATGTACTTTACTCCAGCAAAATTCAAAAGTGTGAGTCTGTAAGCAATCTGTTACCCCAAGCTTGTAAGTGGACCTCAGCCTCATTTCAAAACTCTCTACACTACAAGATTGCTCAGCTTTGCTTTAAAATGCCACAAGACCCTTTGCTGTTGTTTCTAGCAGTAAGTGAAAATCAAGAGAAAATCCTGTAAGAGGCTCTTAGTTCCCTAAATGATTGACTTTAATACAGAAATACAAAAAAATAAGATTATTTGGTGAGTAGGTCGGTTTTTCTAAATTCCTGTTTATCCAGCAGGAAGCAGCTGGTGACTGTTGCAGAGGTAATGGCTTGGACTAGGCTATTCACACAGTCACAGAAACTGGTAGAACCATGCTCAAACTCATTCCAATTTATTTTAAGTTAACCAATTCTCCCTACAGATATTGACTACATTTACACATAAGGCTATGCAAGGATTTTTAAACCTTGGTTTGCTGAACAAGCAATAGTGGCCTGATTCACACATAATACTAAGCCACAGTAGGTACATTTGTATATCATGGTAACAAAAAGGCATACAGTAGATTATTGCCAGAGTTCCCGGCAAGTGCCAGGTGCTAATAT